GGGAGAGAAATAAGAAAAGAAAGAATGAGAGGTGGGAGGGGAAAGGTCAGGCCAAAGGTCTGGCGCCTGCCGCCCTGCCAGGCGCTTCTCGAGCGGACAACGGCAAACACTTGACGGCCACCTCCAAGCTCTTCCTTTTCCTGCCAAGAACGAGGCGTCAGGCGTTAGCGCCCATGCAGGAGTCGTGCGTGTGTGCCCTTGCGTGCGTGCGTGCAGGCACTAACACACACACACACACACACAAACACACACGCACGCACGAGCAACCCCAACACACTCCCTCCCCCACCTCACCTCAGGCGCATTCACATTATGTAGCGCGAGTACGTAAACGCCCCAGTAATTGGAGGCCGAGACGCGGGGGGTGTGGGCTGCACGAAGGAGCGCCGCCTCATGTCGGAAGTAAATGAAGAGATGCTGCTGTTTTTCCCCCGTTTTCCTTTTTTCGGTCGAGGAAAAGAAAAGGAGTGGAAGAAGCGAGATAGGAGGTATATAGTACAGGGTTGGAAACTGTGCGCGAGGGGCTGAGAGAGGTCTAGCCTGCCGACCCCTGCTGCTCCCGCGGAAGGACAAAGTTTTGTACTTAGAGTTTGCCATTATAAGAGCAATGATGGCCAACATAGGGCAAAAGTCGGGCGACACATTAGGGCGATTACGCCGAGTCAGCATTATTGAATATTGAGTTAAATAGTTTCACAAATGCAAGCCCATGTGTGCAACTCTGGCAATAGCACTTATTTACCCATGGCGAGTTGCCACACTTGCAAGTGCCCAGCCCACGTGGGAAGCTCCAGTCTCCCTAGGATGGTTACATATCAAATGTTCAACATTAACAAAGTGTTCCGACTCTCGAGTGCGACGTGAAGAACAGGGTAAGGTTGGCGAGCAGGGTAAATAGTGAAGACAGCGGTCGGGAGGGGTCGGGATTATGGTCGGTTCGGAAAAAACCTTCCGAGAGAACAGCAGCTGGGAAAGGGAGGAAAGCCTTCGCCGGGCTGGTGGGGCCGTCCGTCCGTCGGCGAATGTTTCTTTAACGAAAGGAGGCCTGCAGACGCACGGTACTTTGGGGCGCCGTCGGGCCGAGGCCGGTGGAGGTCGGGGAGGCCGCAGCCGGCCTCGGCCGTCACCTCGAACCTTGGGAAGAGGCTGGGGTGTTTTACGGCTGCAGCCACTACTGCACCACTACTGCGGATTAAAAGGGTTCGCCTTCTATCTCTATCGCCACCACGATTAGAAGAGGGGGTGGGGAGAACGAGAGGGGGGGAGGGAAGGGGAGAGACGGACAAGACAGCGAGCAAGACAGAGACCAGAGAGATTTCTTGAAGAGAGGGAGGTGGTGTACTCAGGCAGGACGTCGATGACGTTGTAGTTCAACATACCTGTAGATGGATAGATGGGTAGATAGATAGATAGATAGATAGATAGATAGATAGATAGACAGAAAGACAGACAGACAGGAGCGGGGAGACGGCAATGAGTATGCCATCTCCCGCCCTCCGCTTACCTCCTGAGGACCTTGATTTCATTTTCCAAAGAGTCTTCCTTGCCCTTGAGGGCCTTCTTGTCGATGATCTTGACGGCGAACATCTCGCCGGGGCGCTCCTTGCTCTCGGCCAGGCGCACTTCAGAGAAGGCGCCGCTGCAACAGGAAAGGCAAGAGAGGAGCGTTAGCAGAGGGGCGTTAGCGGAATGGGATGGATACGGTGTCCGGGGGGCGGGGCTCCGGGCGGCTCCGGGCGGCTCCGGGCGGCTCCAGGCGGCTCCGGGCGGCTCCGGGCACGGAGGGCAGCCGGAGGAGGCAGCCCACTCCGGGAGATGGCTCCCCCTCCGGGTCCCCCTCTCCTCCGGGGGCTCTGATCTCCTCCTTGCTCGGTCAGGTCATGACAGAACCTCATTGGAGCCGCACTGGGTTGGGTAGAGCGCGGGAAGGAGGGGACGGGCTCGGGGTGCTCGGGGTCACCAGCGCAAGCACGATGATGGGTGTGAGCCAGTGTGGATGGAGCTCTCAACAAGAATCAGGCCATAAACTTCTCGTTGAAATAACACTGGAAACGCAAGTGTGTGAATGTCGCTCACCTGCAGGTGTGTGAATATCCATTCGTACACTTAGAGGGGTAAAGGTGTGAATTTTTTCTAGAAAATTCACACGTTTACCCCCGTATGTGCACGTATGGATATTCACACACCTGCAGGTGAGCGACATTCACACACTTGCGTTTCCAGTGAATTGTTGCAGTGACTTTGGGTAAATTTATAACATTGTTTTAGCAGATGCTACATTTGGATTCAGAACACATTTTACACAACTAAAAATAATAATAAATGATATGACTTGCTTGTACTGACATATGCAGCGAGCAGAGGGGCACAAGGCGTGACGTCACCCAGATGTATAGGGGGCGCGTGAAGTCGTCCGCCGGCCCCGCCCGATCGTCCACACAGCCACAGCCAAATATATAACCATACTATATGTTGCATCTATTTCACACTACTACCATGACATTACATCAATATTACTCATTATTGGCGATGATCTATATTACTATACAATATTATTTGTATTACCATTGATATATGAAGTTTTCCTTCCTTGGCGGCCAATGGGGAGTTGACGACCCCTCGGTGCGTCCGCTGCTCTGGCTCCGGCAGAGCGCCCAGAACCCCTTCCCCGGCCCCCAGGCCCACTTCAGCCGGCTGGTTGGCCCACTCCGAGCCCACAGCCCACCCGGCCCAGGGGCTGTAGCCCGGGGCTGCGAGCCCCTGGGCCTCTGGGGGCCGGAGCCGTGCCGAGCGAGCTGAGCTCCAAACTTGGCCCGCTCTGCTTCGCCACACGCCAAGGAAGTCGCGATACTTTTTTTGCGCGAGCGCGGGCCGCCCAGTCCCACTTCACGAGGAGCACCTCATGAATTACGGCAGGCGGGCAACTTAGGCCCCAGTCACCAGGGCCCGCCACGCTACGCCACGCCGCACCCTGCCACAAGCAACAGTATATACGTAGTACAAACTGTTGAGGGTGGCGGCGCGGCGCGGCGCGGCGAGCAAGGGACGCGACTTTGGCCAAACTTTGGGCCTCTCCTCTCCGAGTCAATTTACAGCGCAAAGTGTGTGGCGGTGCAAACGCGTTGAGTGAGGCGGCGGGCGAGTAGTGGCATGGCAAGGTGGGGCGGAGGGGCGGGGCGGGGGCTTTGATTCACCCCCCTCGTTCCCCCCCCCCCCCTCCCCCGCGCGACCGACAAATTCGATTTACAAACTGAAACCAACCGTTTTGCGTGTGACGCCGTGAAATGTATACCATATACCGTTGATGCAAAGTCCAAGAGAGAACACGCGCACAAAGAAAAAAAATGAGGGCTTAAGTTATTTAAGGAATACAGTTTGATATTTTGTCAGAAGTTTCACTAAAATCCGTTTTGCGATACCTTACCTTTACTGATTTAAAAAAAAAAAAAAATTTGCAATGACTGCATGTTTTGGGACTCGCATATTTTTTTATTTTTATTTTTTCGTTACACCACTTTTTTGCCAAAGAGAATGTGATAAAAGTGTAAGTAAAAACAAAGAAACTTTTCCCTTCGGATAGACACATTCACAGAAGGAGGGTGTCAAAAAATCATTGCAAAAGTAATGCCATAACTTTTACCACAAAAATTTGTGCATGAAAATGTTTATAGGGCAGCGGCCCCTCGACCCTGTGCCCGTCACCATAATGAAGGTCCCTCGGTCATTTCCCTCCTGTAGGGTTTTACGTCAACAGCCAGCGATGTGCCACTCGCACAGACTTACTCGACGAAAGGTGACCCTTTGAGAAGCAACTAATTACAATGCGAATCCGTAGAGCATCATGAGGGGCTTGCGCCCGATCGCCCCCCAGACTCTCCCTAAGGCAAAGCCTATATTCGTCTCGCATAGAGCACCACGTCGGCAGAGTGGTCGCCGAAAAGTGCAACCATGGCGGAATTTAGACGCGACTGGACGCCTCGGCCACGCAGTCGCAGCGGCACTAACAGACGGAGCGGTCGAGCGGTCACACACCTTCAGCTCAGCATCTTCACGGGAGAAAGATAAAGCCAGGGGAAAGGTGAGTCTCACAAGTCAATAACCAATAATATGGAGAGATGATATGCACTGAGTTTTATGCTCATTTCTGTACATATAACATGTACCTTCATTCGCATAACGTAAAACTTTTTTGTGTAGGTGCAAAGATTTGCATATACACAGCTAGCTCAAATACAAAATAGTACATAGAAATCAGTGTATGATAGGAAGGGTTCACCTTTCCACATACCTTTACCTATAAATTAAAAAAAAAACACCCATTGATACAAAAATTGTCCTCGTAGACACATTAATTGAGTCACAACAGCTGGATAGAATTATCCGCTATGGACCATGTGGCTGAGTTACGCCGCCCACTTTTGTAGTCACACTGTAAGTACCGCAAGCTCGCTAGCGGGCGGCTTGCATGTCCACTTGGGGCCATTAGGGCATCGTGGTCAGCGACGATAGGCCGTGTCGTACAGTGTAATTAGAAAAATAGGCCCCCCTGGTAATTTCACTGACTTTTCCCCGCTGACCCTAATTCTTGTTTTAATCTTATTAATTTCAGAAACACGGGGCGTTTGTACTATTTCTATAACATATGGGACGCATTCAATGTGAAGTTTGCCTCACGGAGGTCGACACCCGCAGTCTAACCGTCCACATGAGAACGCACACTGGTGAACGGCCTTTCGGGTGTACAGTGTGCAACAAGAGCTTTTTGCAAAGTGGGCATCTGCGAGTCCATCTGCGAACCCACACCAAAGAAAGCCGTTTCAAGTGTACAGTGTGCAACAAGAAGTTTTCGCTGGAAGCGAATCTTGAGGTACATATGAGAGCCCATACGCGAGAAAAGCCCTTCGAATGCACTGTGTGCAACAAGAAATTTTCGCAAACGGGGAATCTGCGAGTTCATTTAAGAATACATACGCAAGAAAGGCCTTACGAATGTACAGTGTGCAACAAAACATTTTCACAGAGTGGAAATTTAAATGTACATATCCGAACCCACACACGAGAAAGGTCCTTTAAATGTACTGTGTGCAAAGAGACGTTTTTGCAAAGTGGGCATCTACGAGGACACCTACGAACGCATACGCTAGAAAGACCTTTCAAGTGTATAATTTGCAGCAAAGAATTTTCGACAGAGGGGAAAATGGGCGTTCATATGCGAACCCACACAGGAGAAAGGCCCTACAAGTGCACTGTGTGCGACAAGACATTTTCGCAAAGTGGGCACCTGCGTGCACACCTGCGCACCCATACCGGAGGGACTTTCAAATGTACTGTTTGCAGCAATTCGTTTCCACGAAGAAGTAAATTGCTTGCACATCTACGAGATCACATACAACAAATGCTTTCCAATTCTAATGTGTGCAGTGAGAATTTTTCGCAAAGTGACCATGAGCGTAGACGTCTGCTAACCCACACCAAAGAAAGATTATTGTATAGGTGTACTGAGTGCAACGCAAAATATCCGCAGAGCGAAAAACTGCTTGAACATCTCCAAACCCACTTAGCTTAGTGCATAGGTTTGTATGTAATCTATAGTAAATAGGCAAGTTTTCAGCAGGGTATCGAAACTGTGCAATTTTTGTGTTTATTACTGATTAAACTTATGTAAAATAAATTATATTTCTGAAAATACTGCGTCTAAAATATGCTTCTGGGGAAAAAACTGTCACAGTTGTCTCCAGGTTAATTGTCCTGAAATTATCAAACTGACAAGTAAATGCCAAAAAAATTAACAGTCCTCATTATTAAACTCAATACATAAATTAAGTTTCACACTGCAAACAGGCTAACGGTGTCATGTCCGTGTACACGTGCCTGTCGTACGCGGCACCGCAGAGCTGACTTATAAATACACTGGACCTAATGTGTGGTATTCAAATGCTTATGAGAGACTTCACAAAATGCTGTACTGTACACCTAACTAAAAAGTGTGCAAGCCATGTCACACCCTGAAAAGTTTGAACGAAAACAGGCGGATATTGATCAAACAACGCGCGTGTGTGCTGACTTCTGGTCAAACACATTTATTTGTGGAGTTCTATTATTGTCGGGTGCCGAAGGAGAGAGGATCTTATCTACAGGGCGTTTCATCCGTTCGGCTGGCCGGGGCGGCGGCGCCGCAGGGCTGTGGGACCCAGGCGCGCTCAGGAGCCCGCCGCCGGGGAACTTTCCAATACATGAATGAATATCCGCTCAGGCATTTCCTTATTATTCCCTTCCTGGCGAGTTGGTATATCTACAAGCGGCGGGCGTGCACAGGTGCAACCCACCCGCAGCACTGGAGCCCCGCCACACCCTCCTGCACGCCTCGCTCAGCCCCAGGCGCAACAAAACCCCTTGAGAGGTATTACCACATATCCGCGTCAACAATTTACAACAAAATCCACCTTTCGGTTCGGTCGAGTGAGTGAAGCCGTACAAACCGGACCGGCTCGGATCGGCCCCCTTTTGCTTCTGCTGTGGCGCGGGCGGGACGGGAGTCGCGCCTGCCTGGCAACTCGCGCAGAAAACGATAAACTTTTCCCTTCGGATAGACACATTCACAGAAGGAGGGTGTCAAAAAATCATTGCAAAAGTAATGCCATAACTTTTACCACAAAAATTTGTGCATGAAAATGTTTATAGGGCAGCGGCCCCTCGACCCTGTGCCCGTCACCATAATGAAGGTCCCTCGGTCATTTCCCTCCTGTAGGGTTTTACGTCAACAGCCAGCGATGTGCCACTCGCACAGACTTACTCGACGAAAGGTGACCCTTTGAGAAGCAACTAATTACAATGCGAATCCGTAGAGCATCATGAGGGGCTTGCGCCCGATCGCCCCCCAGACTCTCCCTAAGGCAAAGCCTATATTCGTCTCGCATAGAGCACCACGTCGGCAGAGTGGTCGCCGAAAAGTGCAACCATGGCGGAATTTAGACGCGACTGGACGCCTCGGCCACGCAGTCGCAGCGGCACTAACAGACGGAGCGGTCGAGCGGTCACACACCTTCAGCTCAGCATCTTCACGGGAGAAAGATAAAGCCAGGGGAAAGGTGAGTCTCACAAGTCAATAACCAATAATATGGAGAGATGATATGCACTGAGTTTTATGCTCATTTCTGTACATATAACATGTACCTTCATTCGCATAACGTAAAACTTTTTTGTGTAGGTGCAAAGATTTGCATATACACAGCTAGCTCAAATACAAAATAGTACATAGAAATCAGTGTATGATAGGAAGGGTTCACCTTTCCACATACCTTTACCTATAAATTAAAAAAAAAACACCCATTGATACAAAAATTGTCCTCGTAGACACATTAATTGAGTCACAACAGCTGGATAGAATTATCCGCTATGGACCATGTGGCTGAGTTACGCCGCCCACTTTTGTAGTCACACTGTAAGTACCGCAAGCTCGCTAGCGGGCGGCTTGCATGTCCACTTGGGGCCATTAGGGCATCGTGGTCAGCGACGATAGGCCGTGTCGTACAGTGTAATTAGAAAAATAGGCCCCCTGGTAATTTCACTGACTTTTCCCCGCTGACCCTAATTCTTGTTTTAATCTTATTAATTTCAGAAACACGGGGCGTTTGTACTATTTCTATAACATATGGGACGCATTCAATGTGAAGTTTGCCTCACGGAGGTCGACACCCGCAGTCTAACCGTCCACATGAGAACGCACACTGGTGAACGGCCTTTCGGGTGTACAGTGTGCAACAAGAGCTTTTTGCAAAGTGGGCATCTGCGAGTCCATCTGCGAACCCACACCAAAGAAAGCCGTTTCAAGTGTACAGTGTGCAACAAGAAGTTTTCGCTGGAAGCGAATCTTGAGGTACATATGAGAGCCCACACGCGAGAAAAGCCCTTCGAATGCACTGTGTGCAACAAGAAATTTTCGCAAACGGGGAATCTGCGAGTTCATTTAAGAATACATACGCAAGAAAGGCCTTACGAATGTACAGTGTGCAACAAAACATTTTCACAGAGTGGAAATTTAAATGTACATATCCGAACCCACACACGAGAAAGGTCCTTTAAATGTACTGTGTGCAAAGAGACGTTTTTGCAAAGTGGGCATCTACGAGGACACCTACGAACGCATACGCTAGAAAGACCTTTCAAGTGTATAATTTGCAGCAAAGAATTTTCGACAGAGGGGAAAATGGGCGTTCATATGCGAACCCACACAGGAGAAAGGCCCTACAAGTGCACTGTGTGCGACAAGACATTTTCGCAAAGTGGGCACCTGCGTGCACACCTGCGCACCCATACCGGAGGGACTTTCAAATGTACTGTTTGCAGCAATTCGTTTCCACGAAGAAGTAAATTGCTTGCACATCTACGAGATCACATACAACAAATGCTTTCCAATTCTAATGTGTGCAGTGAGAATTTTTCGCAAAGTGACCATGAGCGTAGACGTCTGCTAACCCACACCAAAGAAAGATTATTGTATAGGTGTACTGAGTGCAACGCAAAATATCCGCAGAGCGAAAAACTGCTTGAACATCTCCAAACCCACTTAGCTTAGTGCATAGGTTTGTATGTAATCTATAGTAAATAGGCAAGTTTTCAGCAGGGTATCGAAACTGTGCAATTTTTGTGTTTATTACTGATTAAACTTATGTAAAATAAATTATATTTCTGAAAATACTGCGTCTAAAATATGCTTCTAGGGAAAAAACTGTCACAGTTGTCTGCAGGTTAATTGTCCTGAAATTATCAAACTGACAAGTAAATGCCAAAAAAATTAACAGTCCTCATTATTAAACTCAATACATAAATTAAGTTTCACACTGCAAACAGGATAACGGTGTCATGTCCGTGTACACGTGCCTGTCGTACGCGGCACCGCAGAGCTGACTTATAAATACACTGGACCTAATGTGTGGTATTCAAATGCTTATGAGAGACTTCACAAAATGCTGTACTGTACACCTAACTAAAAAGTGTGCAAGCCATGTCACACCCTGAAAAGTTTGAACGAAAACAGGCGGATATTGATCAAACAACGCGCGTGTGTGCTGACTTCTGGTCAAACACATTTATTTGTGGAGTTCTATTATTGTCGGGTGCCGAAGGAGAGAGGATCTTATCTACAGGGCGTTTCATCCGTTCGGCTGGCCGGGGCGGCGGCGCCGCAGGGCTGCGGGACCCAGGCGCGCTCAGGAGCCCGCCGCCGGGGAACTTTCCAATACATGAATGAATATCCGCTCAGGCATTTCCTTATTATTCCCTTCCTGGCGAGTTGGTATATCTACAAGCGGCGGGCGTGCACAGGTGCAACCCACCCGCAGCACTGGAGCCCCGCCACACCCTCCTGCACGCCTCGCTCAGCCCCAGGCGCAACAAAACCCCTTGAGAGGTATTACCACATATCCGCGTCAACAATTTACAACAAAATCCACCTTTCGGTTCGGTCGAGTGAGTGAAGCCGTACAAACCGGACCGGCTCGGATCGGCCCCCTTTTGCTTCTGCTGTGGCGCGGGCGGGACGGGAGTCGCGCCTG